CCAGTAGGTTTGGCTACAGCAGCTGGTCAAGCAAGCTCTGTGGCTTCTGATGCCCCTAATGCCCAGAGCTGAGGTCCCCGGAGCATCTCGAGGCCCCCGCTGAGCAGAGTGGTCTTCCCTCTGGTGCTGTGGGTCTGAGAGCCCCCCACCCACCGAGCAGCGGGTCGGGGGGTGGGCTCTCCTCTGCCTGCCCAAGCCCAAAATCAGAACCAGAGCCAAACTTTGGCAGGCATTTGCCTAGCACCAGGTCTGCTCAGAAGGGAAGTGGAACCCTGGTGCTCCCAGGAAGCTTCCAGAACACTCACAGAGTTCCAGGCGTGGGAATAAAAGCCCTCCCCACCACCTCACCTCCTCCTGAACTGCGACACTGACAAGCAGGTCTCATCACTGTCCCCATCCTTTGGATAGGAGACAGAGGTTTATCCGCTCATGACCAATGAACAGCAAAACAGGCCTCCAAGCAGTTCTTGTAAGCACTTGGGAAAGGGTCAGCAAGGCCGATTTTCAGGGTCTCGTGACACAGTGGCTTGGGGGAGGGGCGATATTCTCGGACACTGAAGGCAAGTTTGGGGCTTTGATCCGTGCTCCCACCCACAGGGCCCTCTCCTAGAACTCTCCTGGCAGGACGGTGTCATCACATAGTCAAGGTCAGTATTTGCCACCAGAAGGTCCTCTTCGAGGAGGCAGGGACTGGTTCCCACCCTGCGGCCCCAGGCACCCCAAAGCCTGGCACATAGTAGGGTCTCAATCAAGGTGATTTGTGACCCAGCCTGCACAGACTCTCCACTCTGCCCATCCAAGGCCCCCTACATTCAGCCTCTCCCGGTATCTGCACCCCAAATCCATGGGCAGGGTGACAGAGAGGAAGCACCTCCAGCCACACACCACATTTTTTTCCCTTTTAATTACCTTGACCTTCCTTTGCATTCTCCGCTTAAAGTATCATTGTTTTGAGAACAGGTAGAAGAGGGCACCCTGCAGAGAAAGCATGACCTGGGTCCAGAGAACAGTCCAACACTTTCATCCTAAACATTGCCCCAAAAGCTTCCAGAGCCTGATAATCATGTAAGAAAAACACAATGGCTCTGGCCACTCCAGGAAGTAGTTGGGAAGGTTCTACAGAACCAAACAAGTTGATGGATAGTTTTTCATAGGCTGGTGTCTGTCACCTAAGATGGGGGGGGGGGGGGGGCATTCCCTCTACAAAGGTTCATCTGGGTCTGTTTTTGCGTTCAAGTCTCATAGGACATTAAATAAGCCTTCAAAAGCCGGGGAAACAAGGTAACATAAGCATTTGAAAAGCCAGAGGGGCACCTGGGTGGCTCGGTCGGTTAAGGGTCTACCTTCAGCTCAGTTCACGGTCCCAGGGACCCTGCTCCCTGTTCAGCAAGAAGCCTGCTTCTCCCTCTCCCTCTGCCTGATGCTCCCCCTGCTTGTGTTCCCTCTCTCGCTGTGTCTCTGTCAAATAAATAAATAAAATCTAAAAAAATAAAATAAAATAGAAAGCCAGAGATGTCCACTCACATCCGCAGCACCTTATTCCCGGGAGCTGAAATGTGGAAGGAACCCAAGAGCCCATCCACAGACGATGATAAATGAATGTGGTCCAGCCACACAATGGAACACCAGTCAGCGTGAAAAAGGGGGTGTGTACACACACACACACACACACAGACACACACAGACGAACCTTGAAGACCTCGCACTCAGGGAAACAAGCCAGTGACAGAAATCCAAACACCATAGGACTTTACTTCCATGAGGTCCCCAGAGGAGTCCAGTGCACACAGGCAGGAGGTAGACGGTGGGAGCCAGGGACGTGACGGGGGGGGCAGGGAGTCCGTGCTTCATGGGGACAGAGTCTCCATTTGGGGAGATGGAAAGTTCTGGAGACGGAAGGTGGGGGTGGCTGCAGGACAGCATGAGTGTGTTTCATGCCACCAAAGTGTGCATTTAAAACTATTTAAGATGTCGGGGCACCTGGCTGGCTGAGATGGGAGAGCGTGCGTGTCACTCTTGATCTCAGGGTCTTGAGTTGGAGCCGCACGCTGGGCATCGAGCTTACTTTAAATAATAATAATAAAAAAACATTGACTCTTAGAAAAAAGAAAGAAAAAAACCCTGAAGCTGGTTAAGTTTTATATTACATGTATTTTCCCACAATTTAAAAAAAAAAAAAAACTGAGGGGAAAAGAAAATGCCAGAGTGGGGTGGTACTCAGCAGACGGGGCACTGGTTCAAAGAACCGTCATTTCACCAGCTGTTAGTGGGACAGGACAATGCTTCACCTAGGGGACCTCAGCGCTGATCACACACCAGGAGCAGGTGACGTCCAAGCCCGATGCCAGGAACCAGGACCTCAGCAGGTGTCAGTCACAGCAACATGTGCAGAGCCACACCTTCCCCCACGACAAAGCCAGTCTGTTCTCAAAGGCAAAAGACTGTGTTGGGGGTGGGGTGGGGGGACAAACACAAAACACACACACACATTCCCCCCCCTCAAAAAAAAATGCTCCCACCAGGGACATTTCTGGAGATAATACTGTTCTGGATATTTTGAGTAAAATGTGTACAGAAATAAATCCACAGAGGAATGTCTTAAATTATATCTCAAGACACAAGAGCCCGGAGTATTTCAAACAAGCACCTAAATTTGGAGACCTCGGCACGGGAATAATAAAAGCGTGTTCCCGGTTGCCCTGATGCTCCAACTACGAGTGGCTCAACCGTTTCTAAACAGAGGGACAACCCTCCCCCCCCACAAAAAAAAAAAAAAAAAAAAAACACATATGCTTTTTTTGTGTCTCAGACTTGGCACAAACCCCAGTTGTCTTTTATTAGCTGTGTGTCCTTAGGTAAGTTAAGTAAGTTCTCTGGTCTCCAACATGAAACTAACAGTGCCCTCCTCGTAGCCGTGTGTGCCGTCCTAACATAGATCCTACACATCTTCTTCTCCCCTCCCCATCATAAATGCCAACCATCACCAAACCCACTGCTCCCAGTTCATTCCCCCTTACCTGCCACCCACCCAGCACCTCAGAAACTTCTGTGTTCTCCAAAATTCCTAACCCATAAGTAGTGTTCTACTTCTGTGGACTCTTTGCCCCCACTTTGTGATTCAGCTCCCATGTGTCCCTGACCTACCAGCGTCCCCAAGATTGCTCCACAATATAATAATCATTGTACCCTCTCCTATCCTCAAACAAGGAGGTTCTCTTTCCCTTCAGGGCCCCTCCCCAGGGCTCCAGTGGCTTCTCATGGACAATCCTGTGGCTTCTAATCAGGACTCACCTTGTGCGGCTTCCTGATACTTCTGAGCCCAGGTGAGAAGACCCTCCTTTCTCCCTTCCCTTGTATCTTTTGTGATACAACCCTTAGGCCCTCCCCCCACTGCCACACACACACACACACACACACACACACACACACTCACTTTTACCCACCTCGATCTCATGCTCACTAATTCTTCCCAGGGAAATTCCTGATGTCTGAAGGAGTCAAAACAATAAAAAAGTAACGGGGGTGTGTTTGGAACATTCCTTCCTGGTTATAAAAACATTATAAAACTATAGTGATTAGAACAGTAGCAGGCCTGGTACAGGAACATCCTGATGGATATCCAGAAACAGACCCCAAATCAAAGACAAAGGAGTAAATTTCTGCAATCGACAGCAGTGAGACCCCAACAAGTTATTGGGTGGGGGGGGGGGGACCATCCCTTTGAATCATGCATACAGATTCCAAATGTCCCGGATGGATTTTTTTTTAATGTTAATTAAAATTTAAAAAGGGAATTTGGGGGGAAAGAACATTTTATGGATGGAAAAGAACTTTCTAGGGGCAAATAATACATTATATATTAATTTTTAAAAAAGAAAATAACTTTCTAAACATAAAGGAACATGAGAGGCGCACAAAGATCCCACTCCGGACTCCATAAACATCTGAAGCTTCTCTGGCAATGGCGACCCAGAGTGTTTTCACCACTGAACAAGAACGTCTGAAAACACATTTGGCAAAAGGGTCAACAGCCTCCAATACCAAGCTGCACACAGACTGGTATTTTGAAAACTACTGAAGTCCTAAGAGATAAATGGACAAAGGATGTGAACAGGAAGAGAAAAACCCAAATGATAAACAAACATGCTCTAAAAGGCTCAACCCCGATAGCAATCAAAGACATCCACAGACAAACAGTAACACCACCTCGGCTCCTCCCTGCAGTAAATTATGAAAGATGTTTCAAACAACACTCAAAGCCGGCCAAGGTGTTCCCTCTCAGCCAGTGCTAGGAGGAGCGCCCATCCGTACAACGTTTCCGGAAAGTCATTTGGCAACTGGTAGCAAGAGCCTTTGGCCCAGAAATTTCAGTTCTGGAAAAGCCAAGGCCCGAAGAAACAAATGCTCCATAAAGTACTGATCCCAAAATGTCCATCCTTCTCTTCAGAATAACTGGAAATCATCTAAATGCCCAAAGACAGGGAAAGGTAATAAATAAAGACACAACAGAATCACAAGAAGAAAGTACCCCCCATTAATTGTGGACTAAGGGCTGCTGTCGTGCTTCCTTCCTTGACCCATTTCCTTTCCCAAATGTCTACTCTGAGCAATCTTACGTCTATTATCACATAAGAGATAAACTTTTTTTTGCCCCACAACAAAGTCGCACTCTCCGCCTCTAGCCCCCTCAAGCAAGAGGAACATTCGACTGTCTAGCGCAGGAGCTGGCAAAACCTGGCCCACAACTTGGCATGTCAATAAAGTTTTATTGAGACACAGCCATGCCCACGTGTTTCTGTATGGCCCATGGCTGCTTTCCTGCTACAATGGCCCCGCTGAGGGGTTGTGAGGAGACCACACAGCCTGCAAAGTCAAAAGTATTTACTACCAGAGCCTCTGCAGAAACAGTGTGCCACACCCGGATCTAGGGAATGCCTCCAGCTTCTTGCCAACAAATGAGGTGTGAGAAGCAGCTGAGAGCCCCGCGTACCCCAGCATACCTTTCTGGCAGTGGCTGTGTGTCCAACACCGCTCGACAAACTGCCCGTTGATGACAGTGGCAGGGCAGCTGGTCTTGCCCTTCGCTGTGCCTGGACAAATGTCCCCACACTCCTCGTTGTCGTCTTTGTTCAGCACAATGTAATTATCCTCCACAGAATCCAGGATGCGCGACCAGTCGATGGTGGCCAGGTAGCACAGCTCGTTATTTTTCTCGATGCGGACGGAGCCCCGGGTAATGTTCATCAAGCTATAGAGGCCGAGTTCCTTCAGGTGAACCATCTCGAAGATGACCAGTGCGTAGTTGAAGAAGAGGCGCGAGCCCCGGATGACCGTGAGGTTGGGGAACAGGTCCTTCAGGCTCTCCAGCCCATAGACCCGGAAGAGCAGCAAGTAATCAGTGATCATGATGAGTTTGGGGAAACTGAGGTCTCGGAAATCCTCGGGCCTCGTTTTGAACATCAACAGTATCTGCAAATGTCCTTCAATGACCGAGCAGTTGGCCAGCTCGTGCAACCTCGTGAGGTTGTTCCGGATATCCATGCCGGGACACACTAGAAGTGAAAACAAGCCAAAAGCAAGACAGGTGAGCGAACACGCCATGGGTAGGTTCTAAGAATTAGCGTAGGGCCAGCTTCACAGGTGTGCAACCTGAGTCATGGGACGGACTCAGGAGGGCCCTCCCCTTGGCTCGATGCTCCTCCATCCATCTTGAAATCCTGGATCATTTTTGGGCAAGGGGCCCCACATCTTCACTCTGCACTGGGTTCCTGCTAATTCTACAGGGACCCCTGACGATGTTTTCTCTCTAGTGTCTGTGCCAAAGTCGTCACCTTCTGGAAACTCCTTTGGCAGTCCCTGTGAACCACTACATCAAATATGACGCAGTAGAGACGCGAGAACTGCACGGGATTGAGTAAGGTGGCAGGTGCGGAAGGGAAAGGGGAGCCGTCCCCGGTGAGTCAACATCAGAGATCTTCAGGAGACGGTTTTAGGAGGATAAAGGTGCCCGCATCCAAATGCGGCGAGGAGAGCTGAACTGGTTTTGTCGATTCTCCTACCTCAAGGACTCTCCTTTCCAACCTGCCTTCCTCGTTCCCTGTTAACTGATCTCCCCTGCCCAAACACCCTGCATGGCCATCTCCCGAAGGTGGTCCTTCCTGGGCTCCGGAACCCTCCCTGGCTCCCCAGGACCCTGGCTCTTCTCCCTCCCAGCCCTCGGGGCTCCCCGCTCGCTCACTCCCCTGTGCCATGCTGAAGAGGCTGCCCACCACTCCCACACCTCCAGGGCTCCGTGCGACATGACCTATGAGAAGCAGGGCATGGAGTAACATAGGCGCACAAGCAGGGCCCCGCACATAGTAGGTGCTCATTTAATACCAGCTATCTCGCTGTTAGCTATTTCTCCCAAACATACCACGATCCTCTCGGGGCTCTGTGCCTTCACTTCCCTAGCTCAGATGGTGTGGGTAGAAACTACTCCCGTCGGCCACTGGAGCTCAAAAGCAGCCCGAGTACAATATGTGAATAAGTGGATGTGGCTGTGTTCCAATAAAACTTTATTTACAAGAACAGGTGGAGGCCTGGAGTTTCGTTCCTGGGGCTATAGCTTGGTGACCCTTGCCCTAGCCCTGTGCTGTCCAACAGACCTTGCAGCATTGATACCAATGCATCTATGTCCCCAGGGGCCGACTGGGGAGGCCACCAGCCATCTGTGGCTCTCAGGCAGTTCAAATGTGGCAAATAAGGCTGAGGAACTGAATCCTGAATTTAATTTTACTTTAGTTCATTGAACTGGAAATAAACCCATGTAGCTAGTGGCTACTGTACTGGACAGGGTAGCCCAAGCTCTGTTGGCTCTCAAAGCCCCTTTATACCTCAGTGGCCTGTTTGTAAATCCAGCCCATCATCCTTCAAGATCCAGTTCAAATGCCACCTCCTCCAGGCACCCTTCTGTGATTTCCTTCCCCTACCCATACCTATTGGAAGCTTTTCTTTCTCCTTGTACCCCTTAAACTTGAGTTAATATCCATCGGAACCAAATGCTTGAGACAGCTTCTCCTTGCCCACACACACACACATGCATGTCCCTCAGCACCTGGAATGTAAGACTCAGTACACAATCTCTACTTATTATATTCTAAGACACTAAACCTTCCCCCAGTATCACTGAGGCAAACAGATTATCCTAAAGAAAATCCCCTTAACCCCTGAAACAGATAATGCATTATATGTTAATTAAGAAAAATAGGGAAAAAAAGAAAATCCTCTTAAAAATCTACCCTGAGAACAACTCACAAAAGAAGCGCAAATTAGGGGGTAAAAAAAAAAAAAAAAAAAAACAGGAAAGCAAACAATTGGGGGAATAAAGCTGCAATGTTCCTTAGTCACGTTCTTTGCAGACTAGGCTAAATCAAGGGAAAATACATGTACACACTCATCTACTCACTAGGAGTTGGGATGAGGACACAGGTCCGAGCCCCACATGGTCACACCACCCAAGTCCCACCTACAGCTCCCAGCTGCAGTCCTGTCCAACCATCAACATACAGAGGTCGCCCCAAGTATGGGGTCACTGACGCCTCCCACAAGTCCCCACCCGACCAGTGGCAGGCAGGGATGCCAGATCTAACAAATAAAAATGCAGGATGCCCAGTTAAATTTCAATTTCAGGTAAGCAACAAGTATTTCTTTAGGATAACTATATCCCCTGCCATGTTCGGAGCACACTTACCCTTAGAAATTGTTGTTTACAGGAAATTCAAATTTAGCCGGGTGCCCTGTCTTTTCTCTGGCAATGCATGGCTTAGGTTTCAAACCTGAACGTCATCCTACATTTCACATGCGCACACTAAAATTTTACCATGCAGGAAAAAAAAAAAAAAAAAAACACCTGCCCGCCATCCTCCCAGGCTGCAGCAGGACCAAAACCGGAGATGAACGTTCATTCAACTGTTGAACACCAGGGAAATGCAAATCCAAGCCACAGAGAGAAACCACAAGGATGGCTAAAGTCCCACAAGAATGGCTAAAATCAGAGACGGACAGTAACAAGTGCTGACAGAGATGTACAGCAAATCGGAACACTTCCCCCCACCCCGTCTGTTCTCTCTCCCTCTCTCCAATAAACAAAACCTTAAAAAAAAATAAGCTCATCTGATTTTGAAACTTGACCAAGAAAGATTTTCTCTCACTCCTCCCCTGCCCCTCCCCTTCTCTTAAAAAAAGTTCATTCACGTTATACTATAGTCTACAAAGTGTGCAACAGCATTGCGACCAAAATATATATATGCCCCTTAAAATTAAAAAAAAGTAGCTCACTAATGACCACCTGAGCTTTTGGGGAGTCATAATCATTGATCACCAATCACCAAACCAATATAATGAAAAAGCCTGAAATACTGTGAGAATTACTGAAAGTGACACAGAGACGCGAAGTGAGCAAATGCTTTGGAAAAAATGGCACAGACAGACTTGCTCGGTGCAGGCTTGCCACAAACCTTCAACTTGTAAAAAGCACACTATCTGCAAAGCATGACCAAGGGCAGTACAAAAAAATGACATATGCATGTACACAAATGTCCACTAATAGCCAAAATATCATTAATAGCCGAAAAGTGAAAAGAGTCCCAATGTCCATCAGCCAATGGATAGATCAATAAGATACAGCATATCCATACCATGAAATATGACTCAGCCATAAGAAGAAATAAAGCAATATGATATGAGCAACATGAATGTAGCCTGAAAATTTGATGCTCAGTGAAAAGAAGCCCGTCACAAAAGATCACACGTGCTATGATTCTATTTACACGGACGCAAATCTATAGAGACAGAAAGTAGGTTAGTAGTTCCAAGAAGCTGGAGAGGAGGGAATGAGGAGGGATGGCTAATGAAGATGGGGTTTCTCTCTGGAGTGATGAGAATGTTCTAAAAGTGACTACAGTCAATGGCTGCACAACTCGGTGAATTTAGTAAGAGCCAATGAATTGTAAACTTTAAATAGGTGAACTGGGGGCGCCTGGGTGGCTCAGTGGGTTAAAGCCTCTGCCTTCGGCTCAGGTCATGATCCCGGGGTCCTGGGATTGAGCCCCGCGCTGGGCTCTCCACTCAGCAGGGAGCCTGCTTCCTTTCCTCTCTCTGCCTGCCTCTCTGCCTACTTGTGATCTCTGTCAAATAAATAAATAAAATCTTAAAAAAAAAATAGGTGAACTGTATGATACTGAATCACAGCTCAATAAAGCTGTTCTTAAAAAAAAAATTAAATGATTGTAATAGTAGGGAACAATAAACTGCTTTTTTTCAAGTCTCCAGTGAATCTCACTGAACTCATTAAAGCTGTGGGTGTCCCTATTAGTCTAAACAACAGAGGGATTTACTGTTGGGACAGAAAATATCCTGAGGAGGTTAGAAATGGTGCCAGAAATCAATGTAGGGCCTTCTGCTGGCTTTTAATGCCTCTGGGTGGGAACTGAAGAATGCTTCAGGTTCCTCCTAAGTAGTATCCCACTAAGCACCCCTCCATACTGGGATAGAAGGACAACGGGGACCAGGGGCACTGGGGGAGCCAGCGACAGCTTACACAGTAGCCCCCTGCTATCTGTAGGTTCGGTTACCCGCGGTCAACTGCAGTCAGAAAATATTACATGGAAAATTCCTGAAACAGACAATTCCTAAGTTTTGAATTGCTTGCCATTCTGAGGAGTGTGATGAAATCTCACGCCATCCTGTTGTGCCCGGTATGTGAATCATCCCTCCGTCCAGCCCATCTGCACTGTGTGCACTCCTATATGCCCGCTAGTCACATCACATTAGGTGTGTGCATCTAGGAAATAAATACAGCATCTGTGGGGCTCAAGACTATCATGGTTTTATGCAGCCACTGGCGGTCTTGGAACATATCCCCTGAGGCAAAGGGGGGCTACTGTGTTTTCTGAGCACTTACTACGTAAAGTACCTGGCCCACTCACTCTCTGGCTCACTGAATTCTAAAAATAATTCCCAGAGGAGGTCTATTTTCACACCCGTTTGTGTGACCAGCCAATCAAGACTCCCCCAGGCTGAGTTTTAAGTGGTGGCGGGAGGTTTGCAACCTTACAATTACATGCAAAGTCCACGCATGTAACTCTGTTACAGTTACCGTAACAGAGTAACTCTGTTATAGTTTTACCATCTTTGTTCCTTCAAAAACATGCCTAATGAAGAAGCAGGTGCAAGTGACATCAATCAGGAAACAGTGTAACAGTTTGCCTGACATGACAACCCAGAGAAAGCTTATTAAAGATCATTTCTTTTGTTCCCTCCTTCAGCAAATAATCTGAGGAGGACCTGCTCCGTGCCCATCATTGTTCCAGGGACGGAAGTGCCATAGGGAACAGGACAGACCCAGATTCCTGGATCTCTCCGACTAGCTAGTTGCTATCAACTGCCTAAGTCAACTTAAAATATAACCAAGAGGATGCCTTCAAGGAGAACTTCAGGGGCCAAAAGAGATCATAGAAATGAGCTATTTGACTTGGTCTGGGACAATGAAGGAGGGCTTCCTGAAGGAAGT